AGTCGGGGAGCAAATTGCGCGGGGGGGGGACCCCGTCGGGGAATGACCACACTAGTAGCAAATATAAGTGATCTCACAATCAGACAGGAAAAATCAGATGATCGCAATGTTTTTCGAATAATTGTTCCTGAAATTTGATTCCAAACTTCAGTGTTTATGAAGAAGATGTGCCGGATCAAGATGGTCAATTGCAACAGCTGCAGCAAGGACAGCTGACCACAGGTACGGCAGCTCGGCGTAGACGTAATCAGGACCGCACCTATGAGGTCACCACCACCACCGAAAGTTTCCACCGAACCATTTCTCCACCAGCCACGACGACACCGTTCGACAACTCATTCGTCGATACGAACCCGCAACCGAATGGATATACTCGTTACTAACTTACGACCATCATTATTATATCCGGATAATTGCTCTTTTCGGACACTAATCAAATGATAATCGCCTTCTGAATTACTGATATTCACACTCTGAATATATGATAATCATAAACAAATGATAGTTACTTCCATCTCCACTGTTCTTTTACAGTTAACAGCTAATTAGTTACCCACCCAGCGATCATGCTCAGTCCAAACAATTGCTTCAGGGAGAGGTGAACTATCCGTATGAATATATTTTCGGAGAGTCATTGTCCAGATCACAGTTATCCGGAAACCATCATCTATAACTTCAAGATATCTTATTTCGCCTTATGTCTGTCGTGCAAAATGTTCATATGTAAGTGAATCGAAGCTAAATTAACCAACCACGATCGTATTTTACGCATTGATCGATGTGTTCTTTCAAAATATCGAAATCCATTGATGCCCAAGCACTTCAGCTGACAAATATAAGCGCTTTGTCGTATCGAATGTTACTCGATTTGCTTTCATAAATGCGAAAGGGCATTCCTTTCCAGCTCGATTTCTATGAACTATTTTATTCGATAAATCATTTGCTCTTCTCTGTATATCACGACTTGAAAATCGAGAGAAACCCTCAGAAGCTTTTCCCAAGTTCCAAAAATCGAACGATTGGAAATGGCATATTTGATAGTGCACCATCCATATACCATCATGCATACCTTTACAATTATATTGTTCATGCTTGATCGAGTCGTATCTCGTTTCCAATGAAAATGTATGGAAATATGACTTCAAGAATGAAATTGCAATGCATTTTCAACGATTAAGTGACTCATAAATCACAACTTCTTAAAAGCAAACAATTTTCGTGAAGCGTTCGGTTTGTTTTCGAAATTTTGGTTGTTTTTGAGATGCTGTCTTGTGATGTTGACGCATGCTATCGATCACGCATCGCCTGACCATATTGACCGATTCGATTGAATATAAACGTTTTTATATTATATCAACAAATGATCAATTAGAATGAATGAAAGCTTTTTTTCAGTTTATAACACTGCCAACTGTTATATACAATAAAGTTGCTTTTTTGACGAGTTTGTTCAGCTTGTTTCTATCTAAATGTACTATTACTGAATATCGTACATGGTTGGTTCATGGTTGATAGTGAATGGAGCGAACAATGTGTCTGTACTTTGAAAAAGATTCAGTTAAATTGATTGAAAGGAATCGTCGAATCATCAAAGGAATCGTTGAATCATCACATCCTTCGTATATGCATGATTTGCTTTTTGCACTATGACAAAGAATATTTACTTATTGTTAGTGCATCTGAACGAAAATTCTCTCGCAATCATCAGAATTTTACTGCAAAATGCATTGGAAAATAAAAAATACTGGAAAATAAAAATAAATCAAGTGTGAATAGGAAAATAGAAATAAATGGAAAACCATTGATTGGAATAAAAAAAATTGACGGTCTTGCTTGAGCTACTTATCGAATGTGATCAAACTGACAGTAAATCATCAAGTGCAAATATATACAGTTTATTTGATAATAATAAACAAAACATTCACTAAAACAATTTTTGAAGTGCAAGAAATTCAAAAGACGATCAGCTACAGAGCGCTGAGACTAATGCTATTAACGATAGCAATACACATAGTGACAAAAATAGGCAAAAAATTTCTTATTCTCAGGAGAATGGTTAAAGATTCATTTAGGTCGATGATAACAACAGTAGAACAAAAACCTTAGCAACAACGTTTCTCGAGAACAGTTTCCGAAGTTGCTTGTGGATTGAGAGTGATAACTGCATTATTAGTCAACGAGAATGATAACACTGATATGAGTGGAATAATATTAATCAACCAATGAAAATATTAATCACAATAATAAGAGTAACAATCTAATCACATCAAAAAAGACATATAAACAACATATTTACAGATTCATCCTATCGTTCATCGAAAACGGTAGGATCTCTTGAAAAACATGATAACATACATATAAAAATATCGATGAAGAAATAACCATTCGCGGATTTGAAGCAAATCTTTTTGTAACAACGCAATGATTATTCGTTTGATAATCGGCTGTTTTCCCTCATAATTACTCTTGGCTCAAGTTTATTTGATGTTCGTTTCAGAAAAGAAACACGAGCCAATGACTTCTGTAGTCGCTGAGGTACGATTCCATCACATTGGTTTGTTTGTTTGCTTTTGAAAATGCGATTTATTGGTTCGTACGAATGCGACTGGCTGCTTAAAGCTGCTGTGCTTTCGCTCGAATCAATTTCCAAACTTTCGGTTGCGTTTCAATATCCTGAAAAAGCGTTACATTATTGAGCAATTTGGCTTAGTTGGGGAGATATAGGCATTTTATTAATACTATCTCACGTGTCACCTTCAAGTCTACCGTAAACTCAAGTTTGCCCACTAACATATGAATTTTTTTTGCATCAGTCGATCCAGCTGGATCTCCTCATTCAGAAACACATATATTTTGTGGAGCGATTTCGTTAAACTGAGGAGACATAGTCATTTTTTGGAGATATGTCTCAATTCAATACCGCAGTCTCATACAAATTGATCACTATAGAGCAATCAATACGTTCATATTAGCAAATATTCGTGCTATTGGAATCATTGCTTTTGATCTCAGAACAATATGAACTGATCTGCTGAGCTGTTAAGATTCTGACTGTGATACTGGCAATGACTGCCATATTCGAGCAAATCTATGAATGCGTCTGTATGTGTGCTCCAAATGAAACGAACCGATTTCTTGTCATAAAAGTATTCTCGAATAGCCGTATTGCACAGTGTTGTAACATCTTCAATGCACACTTCTTGAAGTTGTGATAGCATCTGCAAAATACAATTCAAGAGTCAAGTTAAACTTCAACTTCAGGACTGAGCAAATGAAGTTGAGTTGATGGAAGATTGAATCAGAATTTTGAATTTTATCGGTGTGACTATGACTGAGCAGAAATCCAAACCGATTTAGTGTGTTCTTCATCAAAGTCGAATTCATCGAATGGTTCAAGCAGTACCACAGGCGCATTCGGCATCAAGATGTTCTGAAAATTCGATCATTTGAATGTACTATCTCCAAAACTCATTTTTCATATTGTCTTCTACCGTTGAGCTTATGATAGTATAAAGTGGACTTTCTTCCACAATTTGTTTGCTAACCAATGAAATTAGATTCGAAATACTGTTTTCATAAAAATTGGAAACACAACGACACATATATCATCGAACGGAATATTTCTGATGAATGAATAGGAAAGAAATCCCTTTCAAATGAAAAGGATTCCTATATTCCCGTTGCTCTCACAAACATTTTAATCGTCATGCGTAAATTGATGATTCCATACGTTCAATTTATCGACAGTTTGTTGAAAGTTGGGTGCGATGTTGGACTGATGAGCAAAGAATTCAGTGGCGACGAACGCATCAAAACGACTTCCGGAATCCATCCAGTAGTCAATCGCCGAATCGAGGTGACGATTCCATGCGACACGCAGACGAGGATCCTTGACCTGATTCACTTTCGCCAGCGATATGTGATAGAACAACTCGTTCGTTTCAACGCTCCAAACTATTTGACAGTCCAACACCTTAATTTCCCATGTTTTAGCAGCCATAACCTTCTAAAAAGCTCTGATGGTAGGTTAACACTTCAACTGATCTCAAAACGAAGATGAGTTCACTTTTCACAGATAATTTCTTTGGAATTTTTCAAACCTAAACTTTCTGGACATTTAGAATTTCTACCACCTACAGATTTAAAAAAAAATGTTTAGCGCTGTTATTGCTCGTGTGTATCAAACTTTCTATCGTGTTCTTATTACAGAGTCATTATGGCACAAAAACTTAAAGAAAATAATTTCATTAAAGAAAATTAAAGAAAATAATTTCATCTGTGATCTGACTAATATCATTTCAGCATATAAAGTTTCAAGCAAAAACTATGCGTGCGCAATGCTGATTTCTCAAGAACCAGTATCTAAAATCGCTATGGACAACAACTCGTTATTGATAGTGAATATATTTTGATCTGCTTTTATTGTTTCAACGAATTCGATCGAAAGCGATCACATTGTAATGGCTGAATTTAGTAACGCCATTTTCTGGTTTCATATGATGGCGTGATGCGACACGTTATTTATAACGGCAGAAGATGTGATAACAAGGACGGATGGCACATGAAAATTTTGTGATAGCGATAGAATGCAACTTAGAAAACAACGAGACATCACTGCTGTGCGTATGTTATTTCATTTGCAGCAACAATGTTGCGCCTTTCAGTTTTGCATTATAAAACGGAAATATTTATAAAATATCTGTGAAAAAGCACTGATGTTGAGAGCATGAGAATTTGATTGTGGCGATATTGTGCAATCATTAAGGAATCAAAACACACCTGTCACAAAATAAATGCATGGGAATTTGATCAGTCATCATGTACAGAAAGAGCAACATGACTGAAAATGTTTCCGAGAAAATTGAAATTGAAATTTTTTTGCATGATTGTTGGAAATCGAACTGCCTATTCAACTTGAACCTGCTCAGTTGCAGTGCAGAAAATGAACTGGTTCGATTTCGTTTAACTAGTCAGTAGGATTTTTGATAAGAGCAGGCTGACTGTGCAGTCAAATGATATGATCTAGGTAAGAGAAGAATGATTCATAAATGAATAAGTCAACAAACATACCTCAGATATTAAAAATGCGTTGAGTTGAACATGAAAAGCCATTTGGCGTGGATTAAAAAGCATTATCGCTGATTTGGGCTTGATCGATTCCTTTTGTAGCACATAACTCAACACCTTGAAATGCATTTGAATCATTCAAATTCAATGATTATAATGATAAGAATTATCGATTCGTTTGAACATTTTACAGATCAAAACCAGTGGAACTTATGCGCTCACTTCAAATCGACTTGATAAAGTCCTCATTCTGTGATCGAAATCGCATCGAAAAGAACACTTGAATTTAGGATGTTCTCAACAGATCTTAGAAATAATGCTCAGTGAATAACGTGCGATCAAGAGAGAATCGTGGTAAATTCTGAACTGAGACCTTATCAGTCCAGCAATAATTTCGGGCCTCTAAAAGTTGATTCCACTTCATCTGCTCCAATTTTGTTGTTATTCGAAAATTCATCAACGCATCGCATCGA